TTTTGTTTCCAGTAAGAAAGGCTAGTATACATATATATTACATATGTTTATAAATTAATACACTACCTGTATAATACTCGTATATTTTTTAAACTGTGATTTTCCAATTGTACATAACCTCAACATACAAATGTGAATTACATTTCGTTCGAACAATCTTTGTATAGCTTTAATTCTACAGTTTTTTCATTTTGCAATAATGTACAAATTACAGAAAATACGTTCTCGTAAAATTATTCATAATGTTTCAGTTGGACATAGACAGAAGTTATCTCGTACAGTTCTTGACCGCGGGTGACTTTTTGGAGGTTTATGCGGAGAGTAATCATTGGGATTGCGTCGCGACATGTTTCTTTATAGATTGCGCTAATAATGTTGTGCAATTTATAGAAACGATCTACAAGATCCTAAAGCCGGGCGGCATCTGGATAAACCTCGGACCATTGCTCTATCATTTCAGCGACCTACCAAACGAGGAGTCGATCGAGCCCAGTTACGATGCCATCCGCGACGTTATACTTGGCTTCGGCTTTCAATTGGAGAAGGAGCAGGCAAAAGTGAAAACGCGTTATGCCCAAAATATAAACAGTATGTTACAGTGCGAATACAATAGCGTGTACTTTGTTTGTCGGAAGCCCGACCGACATGAAGACGGTGTGAATCACAATCAGAACGGAGACGAAACTAATAGTGCGCGAGAAGAAGAAAACTGATTAAAGCGTGATTAATGACGTTTTTCTTTGAAAGAAGAAATGTTGAACACTTGAAAAGTTATTGCTTAAGTGCACCCGTGTTTCATGAACTATTGCTAGAGATAGTTTTGTGATTACGAGAATTATCCGAGGTTTCTTATACCTTTTCTTTCCCTTCTTTCTCTTTTTTTATGTCTTTACCTGTCTCGAAATATAATATAATATTTTCTATTAAAATGGTGTGTATTAATTTTTCTGCAAAATATAGGCTGCGTCCACTTGATGCTACAAATGCTTCAAAAGCATTCTTCTTCTTTCTTTATTAATAAGGAGAAGAATGCTTCGAAGCATTTATAGTATCAAGTGGACCACAGCCAAATTGATGAATATAGTATTAAATTTTTATATTCGCAAAAATTCATATATGCGTACACGATGCCGACATTTTGACAGGCAATATGCTAGCATGCTACCTGCATTACCTGTTAAGCACTATGTGTCGTCACTATGCTCGTCAGGTGCGGCTGCAGCTGGACATCACATGACAGCACGCCATTGCACACGTGCATGCATTATGCGGTCATCGTGCAAACATTTGGTTATCTGGGTACACAGAGCTTCCTCGTTGGTGATCACAAATGCGCAGTCTTTCGATCCACTCCCGTCACGTTTTTCTTTGTGGGATTTCTTCTTTGATGGGCACTCCCGCGCAAAATGTCCCTTTTCTTTGCACTTAAAGCACTCCACATCTCGTTTAGAGTACTTGTTCTTCGGGGTTCCCGACTGCGATTTATTTTTCGCACTCCCACCTTTTACTGCGGCCAAAGCTTCCGTTGTGTCACTTCCTCCTGCGAGTCTTGCTTCCTCTCGAATGAGCCTTTCGATCAGATTTTCGACGGTCTGTCTGTGTTCGTCCACGTTGTCCCACACCGTCTGAAACGCGCTGTATTTTGGTGCCAGACTTGCTAGTATCTTAGCCATGACGGTGGTGTCCGTCACAGGTTCGCCGACATCCTTCAGCTGATGCGCCAAGTTTCTCACACGCGCCACGTGTTGCACTATCGAGTCTCCCGCCGGCATCTTGTATTCGTGAAATTTCTGCATCAGGAACAATTTGTTGGACGAGGATTTTTGCTCATGTACCCGGCACAGAGCATCCCACATTTCCTTCGCCGTTACACACGTTATCAGAGACTCAAGTTGCGATGCTTCAACGGACGTTGAGATCAACACCATTGCTTTGGCATTATCCTTCCGCCACGTGGTGGCCGCCGCCGATGTTTACACCAGCAGCCACGAACACCGCACCTAGTTGGAATTTCCAGCTCAGAAAATTCGAGCCATCCAACTTTTGTATATGACGCACCGTCACTTCCTCTGACATCTTTATATCGCGTTCCGAACCTTTCCTAAATTCTTACTGAGCGTTGGCTCACGCACGTACGCCTTTTTGCGAACAATGGCCGCCACGTGTTCCGTTCTTCTCGAACGTTCTCGACCACTTCTGCTGCGCTGTGGAATAGTCCTGGGCCCATAACCTATTGGGATTTTCTTGGTAGCAGGGTATAATGTTTGTGGTAGCGAAAGATCGGAACTATATAGAGTAGTCTTAACACACTTTATTAAAGAAAAAAACGTGACACTGTATGGTGCGACTTGTGTGCGGCTCACGACCGATCAACAGACAGACTGACTGACGGACGGAAACGACGAAGACCGGAAAAGGTCCGAAAAACAAAAGAGGAACAGAAAAGGGTTCCGCAACACACCGTCAGTCTCACACGCATACGCGCGAATTACAAAATGCGAAAACCAATCATTCAACAGAAATCAGTCGCATCAGTCTGAAGGACGTACGTCTTATTTCCACTGGTCAAGGAGCACAGATTCTTAGGAATCATCATAGACCATTGTTTTTCGGGTAAGGCTCACCTTGAATGGTTGATCCGTAAATGTAGATCTATATGCAACGTGGTTTCCTCTTTGGCAGGGATATGGTGGGGTTCCCATCCCCTTATTCTTCTTAATATTTATAGGGCGGTTATGAGAAGTTCTATCGACTATGGTCACCAGGTCCTATTTTTTCAAAAAAACCTTACCAGGATAGGAGTACTCCTCAGACTAAGGAACAGAGCGCTCAGGGCGGCTCTTGGCTACCGGCAATCTACCCCTATTAACGTTATTCTAAGCGAGGCTAAGGAGCCTCCCTTACACGCAAGGATTGAGTTTCTTAAAATACTAAGTTTCTGTGCAAGTGTTTTTCTCGATCCGAATGCACTGTTCTTGAGGACTTCGAGGCTACGGTGGACGGGGTCAGGGCGGTATAAGTCGTCGAACCTGGCTTCTCCGCAATATCCCCATCTTCAAAACTTTTATTAAGATCAAAGGGGATCTTGAGAAGATTCAACAATCCAAGATTCTTCCCTGTTTTTTGCAGAACTATGAGACTTTACTCTTTAGACCGCTCACTGCTGACATAAACTTGGGAGGTTTTCCGAAAGACAGCTCGCTGGGATCCGTTTTCAGGAGTGAGACTGAGCTTTTGACTGCGGGGGCAGTCACCTTTTACACGGATGGTTCTAGGAGGGGGGGCGAGGAGTCGCCCAGAGTGGGCTTAGGGGTCTTCTCCCCGGAATTGGACGTTAGAGTGTCTTGCAGGTTGGATGACGCTGCCTCCATCTTTACTGCTGAGGCCTTGGCCGTTAAAAAGGCATTCGAACTGATTCTCGACAACTGTTCCGCGGTCAGGAAGGCCGTCATCTTCTCTGACTCTCGTAGTGTGTTGGAGGCTTTAACTTCATTGAATCCGTTTGTCAGAGGTAATTTGGTTCCCGAGCTTAGAGATCTAGCTCGCCGTATTACTGATTTGGGGATTGAATTAATTATGGCCTGGATCCCCTCTCATAGGGGCATTGATGGAAACGAAGTGGCGGATCGCCTGGCTGGTGAAGCTACCCCATGGACCTAAGAATCTCTGGACCGAGCACGAAGTGGGAGGACGGGCAAGGGGGCTGTTAAATTTGCGGTAAGGGGGACGAGAGTGCTCTCCTTTTCTGTCCTCTTGGTATCTCATTCTACAAGAGGTCACATTCGGCTTGATGACGAATGTAACCGAAGATAGTCGAAGTTTGTGTATAGTCTATACATAATAATTTCTCGACGGGAACATGGACGTAAGAATCTCTGGACTTCAGAAGTTAGCGAGTATAGACTTGTCTAGTCTTTCGGGAATCATCGGATATACGGCGGAAATACCCGACGGTGACCTCTTGTAGAAAGAGACAGTACTATCCTCCCCTTACCGCGAATTTAACAGCCCCCTCGCTGTATGCTCGGTCCAGAGATTCTTAGGTCCATGAGCTACCCTCAGCAAAGAAATCCATATTGCCGATGTTCCATACACTGACTGTTTCTCTATCGCTAAAGAAATTTCGAACAGGGCCAGTAATGCCTATTTCCAAGGGGAAAGTCTTCACAAGGGTAAATATTATCATCAATTCTTTCACTCCCTGGCTCCTAAACCCTGGTTCCATAAAATCAGGCTTAAAAGATCGGAAATTGTTTTAATTAATAGAATACGCAGTAACCACTACAACCTCAATTTTAGTCTGTTTAGAAAGAATATGATAGATTCTCCTGCGTGCTCCTGCGGATACGACACTCAAGATGTTAACCACGTAATATTTGCTTGTCCACTATATAAAAGATGCATGGCTCCGTTTCTCAACTTTGCGAATTCTAAATACCCCAATTTCCCTTTGTCGGACATTGCCCCTATTATTGTCTGTCCTTCTCCCAAGCTTTGCAGACTCCTTTTAGCATCCTTCAAAAGTGCCAATTTGCTTATTTGAATTTACCGCTCTTACTCGTGGCGTCCCCTGTGACGCCATCCTTCTCCTGTAATCTCCACACTATCGCCTATTGGATCGTCATGGCCGTATCGGATCGCTTTTAACGTCCAGTACGGAAATTCTGTATCCCCTGGTCCACAATCTTGCTTTAAGTAAGTTGTAAGCCTTAAGCCGTAAGAAATTAACCAATCGCAGGCATTTATTCCCCTCACTCTCACCTGTGATTGGTTAATTTCTTACGGCTTAAGGCTTACAACTTACTTAAAGCAAGATTGTGGACCAGGGGTAACTTGCTATCGAGGTTTTTCGATAACGTTAA